AATAGTTCTTACTTCTAAGTAGACATGAACAGATTTTGGTGTGTGATTCACCCATCCTTACTACTAAATCTGTTAGTATCTGTTTCTCCAAGTTTCTCATTTTTTCCCAGTGTTAAATTCAGTTCTCCACATGGGTTTTTCAGGGGTTTTTTTATTATTATTTAAAAAGCCTTGCAGTGCGAATTTCTATGTGAATTTTGCTGAATATATGAATTTTTGAAAAAGCAAGCTCCCCAAGCAAAATGCACTTTTGTATGATTTTCATTAATATCTGCATTTAAATGCACACTTTGCCCTTGTGTATGCATTTTTGTACATGCTACTAGTGTAGAAAACTGCTTTGCAGAATCTGGAGAAGTGTAAATTTCAAACGAAGGCTAAACGTTGGTTCGTATTCAGAATGCGAAAATTAGGTAGGTTCAACCTTAAATGTGAAAAGAAACAAATTTCTCCCCTCCCCTCCATTGCTACCTATGACACCCATGGTTACCCTTTCTTGGTGAGCCTATTCAGGGTGCTAGGAGGGTTTGCGTTCTGCTCTACTTTCCTTCATTCATCCTTCTCCTCTTTTTCTTTTTTCTTTTTTAACTCCTTGGCCAGAACTGGCAAGAAAGTGCCAGGAGAATTACAGCTTGGCTTCAAGGCACAAGCTCGGCGATCGGTTCCCCTTTACGAGCCTTTATTGTTATTACCACCTCTTTCCTTTTATATTCCTGCCAAAATACTCACATTAATCTCCCTCGCTCCCTGAAGGCAAAACACAGGTAATTGGATTTATATGGGTTAGAAATTTGCTAGATCCCCCCCCTTTTTTGATAATATATACAAAAATAAATAATTAGATGCATGGGTTGAGAAAGAGAGGAAAGAGTGGGAGAGTACCCTGCCATAACCCAGAGTTTAGAAAATAACTTGGACTGAAACCCCATAAATCTGGCTTCCATGCAGCAACCACATTCCTCCAGGCTTGTTTTGGTAGTTGATTACTTGGGTCTGATTTAAGAACTCTTCCTGCTTGGAACACTGAACTTTCCCCAAGCTTCTCATTTTGGACTCATTGAGTCTCTGCTAAACCCTTTCCATTTCTCTCCACTCCTTCTCTCCTTCCTCTGCTGATTTCCATCTTTCATTTATTTCATCTTCTTCATATTTAACTTGATCTGCAAGATTTCCAAGAGTGAGGCTGGAGTGAGGTCTTGTCCTTGCAGAAAGGCCCAGATCCTTAGTTCAGACCTTGTACATAGCAGGGAGACATTCGGCCAAACATACAGATGAAAACTCCCTCAGAACTACACAGACTATCAGGGCCCCTTCAAGCTTTGCAAGGATCGTGCCACTTTCCCTGGTTGCTCAGCAACACCTCCACCCATCTTCCTCTTGGCTAGCTGATCTTGATATTAATGGAACCAGCCCTTAAGTTACAAACTGAATGATCCCTGCTGTTGCACTTCCCACAACAAGGTCCTTCTGTTCTCCTCTGACGGGCTCTGAAGCCCCAGGGTTGCATATCCAGTGTATGATGTTTTTAAAGTTTGATGTTTTACTATGTTTTTTTATATGCTGTAAACCACCGAGAGTGGCTGGGGAAACCCAGTGAGATGGATGGCGACCCAACAACAACAACCACAACAACAACCTCTCTTGATGACATGTTCCCTTTTGCACGTATCAAGACTGCATAGAAAGCACATCTTTTTCAATAATAATACAGTGGTACCTCAGTTTACGAAGTTAATCCATTCCCGAAGTCCATTCTTAAACCAAAGCCATTCTTAAACTGAGGCGCACTTTCCCTAATGAGGGCTCCTGCCGCCGGTGCCCTTCCACCGTTCGGCTTCCGTTTGTAGACCAAGGTAAAGTTCGCAAACCAAGACACTTCTTCCAGTTTTGCGGAGTTCGTAAACCGAATAGTTCATAAACAGGGCTGTTCTTAAACCCAGGTACCACTGTAAATCAGTGAACACTGTTTCTTTTAATACTTCTGAAAGCTATTGGTATACTGACTGAAACCACTACGCTTACAGAAACATAAAATTATGGTTCCACCACGGTAACAAGGCTTGTCTCTCACCATGATACAAATTGGATGAATATTTGGAGAGAAGGGAACTCTTGGTCCATCCAAGCTCATCCAGCTCACATTCCACTGATAGAGATTTCACCTCCAAACAGGGCAGTCTTGCAAACGTTCAAACCTGCCCACTCCCGTAGGGACTTTCTGGTTTTGACTGGCAGCACTTGCAGTAAATGTGATGTGGGGCTTTTATTTTCCATGTACCCTGCTTTTGTGCTATTTATCTCATGTTAAACCTCACCTAGGTTCCTTCCTATAAGTCCCAATTCCTTCCTTTCCTTCCACTAGTGTGGGCTCAAAAACAAGCATAGCTAGTTAGCTGCTCTTTCTACCTTTTTGCAATAGCTATTCTTCAGGAGGTAACTGAAACAGTCTTAGCTTATTACAACAAATGAGATTCATGGGGGGCTATGTTTCCTTCTCCCATAAAAAAGCATAATTTTTATCTGTGGAACTCTCTGCCACATGATCTTATGCATACTTAATGATTGGGATTGTGGCGGAAATGACGAGCAGATATATTGCCATGCCATGGCAAGCATAATCCAGATTTACAGCCTTTGACCAGCAAACGCTGCTTCTTTATTTTCAGCATTTTCCTCTGATATCTTGGAAATTAGACCTTTTAGAAATCAAAATAAAATAAAGCCAAGAGCTGCAAGAGCTGCAATATTCACAATTGTATGGCTGTATTCAGAGAAGGGCGGTATCAACACAGGAAGGTAGATTTCTAGATTCTCATGTGCTTCTTGGGTAATAGAGGGACCCCTCAAGGGTTGCTGTGTCAGAGGTTAAGATATAGAGAACCTTGCTTGATAAGATTATCTTGAACTGGCTTGATGAAGAGAGGATTGCTCCTGAACTAGGCAATATCTCAACTATTGCAGCAAAATTAGCGGGCATGTAATTATAACTATCACGAGCAGGCAAGACAAGTTAAATACCATCTCCCTTGGGGAAAAAAATTATTATGCCAGCCAGGAAGATCCAAAATGCCAGTACCCGCGGCTGTAATTTCACTGACTGTCCAATTACACCTCCAACAGAGGGAAAGAAAGATGTACCTTGGGAACGGCAGGTATATATTTAACTGCTTTGTGATTCCTCCCCCCCCTTCTTCAGGGGGCTAAAGCAGGGTGGTGTGAGGAGCAGGGCTCCCGTTAATGTGCCCTTTGCTAATCCCTACACTTTTAACATTCACATACAATAGGTAGCAGATTTGCCCCCCTCCCTCCCCTGTCCCCCCCCATCCGAGTTATCAGCAAGGATTTAATGACAGAAAAAAAATTGCTGCAGTAATAATACGTTAGCTCTCTGCTCTGCACTTTACAGTCAAAGAGCTCAGTGGGCAGGGCGATATTATTATCTTCCCTTTCCAGATTGGGACACTGAGGCCCTAAAGAGGAAGCATTGACTTGACTACAGTTACACATGTGACCGCGCACACACACAGCTTCCAACATTTAAGAAAACAGGATTTTCAACTACCAGCACAGTTCTCTGTTTTCTAGGTACCGGTTTATGTTCAACCAGTGTGGTGTAGTGGTTAGACTGTTGGACTAGGGCCTGGGTGAACAGAGTTCAAATCTCCAATAATCCAGGAAGCTCACTGGGTGATCTTTGGCAATTCATTGCTTCTCAGCTTAGCTTACTTCACAGGGTTGTTGTGAGGATAAAATCAGATGGAGGAGAACCATGTACACCACCTTGAGTTTATTTGAGGAACCCCTAACATGCCTATTTATTTCTTTATAACATTTGTATAGCACTCATGGGACATGGGTGGTGCTGTGGGTTAAACCACAGAGCCTAGGACTTGCCGATCAGAAGGTTGGCGGTTTGAATCCCCGTGACGGGGTGAGCTCCTGTTGTTCGGTCCCTGCCAACCTAGCAGTTCGAAAGCATGTCAAAGTGCAAGTAGATAAAAAGGTACCGCTCCGGCGGAAAGGTAAACGGTGTTTCCGTGCGCTGCTCTGGTTCGCCAGAAGCAGCTTAGTCATGCTGGCCACATGACCCAGAAGCTGTACACCGGCTCCCTCGGCCAATAAAGCGAGATGAGCGCTGCAACCCCAGAGTCGGTCACAAATGGACCTAATGGTCAGGGGTCCCTTTACCTTTACCTATAGCACTCATACATAATTGACTTCTCTGAGCTGTTTATACAAACCCAGTACTTTTTTTGGGGGGGGGGTCGCAGGGGTATGTATATCCCTAAACATTTTGTGAATATTTGTACTTTTGTCCATTTACTGTATTTATTTTTCCTGATTTGAACTAAAAAATGGTGATTTTCTTGAGTCAAAATGAGAGTACCCCTAGACATATTTTTAAGGGAAAAAAGCACTGCAGAAACCTATTCCAAATGCAGTTGTAAATATACAAATATAATCCGAATCAAACACTGCAACCTATTAAAGCCAGTTAATTAAGACCACAGCTGCCAATAGCATTGGAAACCTGAATCATCATTAAAAACCTGAATAAGTAATGTTAAATCAGTATAAAACCATTAAGGGGAGAGTTTGCATGAATTTCATGATATGAGGAACATTAAGAAAAAGCAAAACAACCCTGCATAGAACATGCTGAAAAATACAAAATAAAAACTGAGCTTCACTATAATTAAGCCAATAACTGCAAAAGACTCTGTGAGGGAATGACACTGTAACCATGCTCTTTCCTTCCTTCCTTCCTTCCTTCCTTCTTTCTTTCTTTCTTTCTTTCTTTTAAAAAAGCCTCCTAATTAAATTTGTTCACATAACCACTATTTGGCAAAATTTAGAGGTTGGAGAATTTGCTGTGTTAGTGCCATTTTGCTGCTTTGATTTCAGTTTGTTTAAGAATCCAAAAAACAAAACAAAAAACCCTTAGCAAACCAAGTTAACTTTGTCAGGCCAAGTTGTTGTTGTTGAATTATGATAAAGAGTCAGTGTCACTTGGATGCACTCCAAATGCAATGTGTGGGCTGAAGTTTAATTTTATTTGAACTTAAACTTGAGCCAACACATTGCATTTGGGGTGAATTCAAATGATACTGACTCCCCATCCCATCCTCTCTCACACACCCCTACCTAGCTATAATTGTGTCCACACTGGCATCACCTGTGTTCTGTCCTTGAAGTCTGGGCTCATTGTGCAAAAATTTGAACCCTATTTTAAAAATTGCAAACCTCCCCCTGGTTGGTTGGACAGAATGCTTGTCCAGTTCTTCTTCCCAGCTGTTCTCCTGGCTCTCCTCTTCTATCAACACTCCCTTCTTGTGCTTCACTAACGCTGATCATTACACATTGCAACTTGTTGTTTCATTATCCCCATACCACTCCAGTTGTCTCTTAACATAATTCATCCTGTTTATTGAGACATACACCACTTTTGTTTGCATATGTTCTTTTGTTTGGCCATTAGCACCAATCTGATGGGGGGCAGCAAATTTGTGCTTCTTAAATCTACAACCAGGGGTCCTGGGGAGTTAGTGAAGAATCTCACTGGGAAACTGCAATTAGCCACATTGCAGGGATGCTGAAGATGCATCCTGCATTGCAGATCCTGCTTGGAGCAGCAGGGATTGACTAGATGACTTCTAAGGTTCCTTTTGGCACCGTGATTCTAAAAGCTTTAATAGATTAAAGTCACTGCAGTCCAAAGCAGTTTATGCAATATGCATAATATAGATACCTTTCTGGAACATAAGATACCTTTCTGGAAGCTGCTACCAAAAGCTCAACATTTCCCACTTTATGGACTGCCTGGCTCAAATGCCAGCAGAAAGAAAACATTTAGCAAGCTAGTCTAACCTCTCTTGGGAGAGAGTTCCACAATGTAGGAAGAGCCACAGAAAAGGCTCTGTTGCATTTCACCACCTACTGTGGCTCTGATGTTGATGGGAGAAGAAGAAGAAGAAGAAGAAGAAGAAGAAGAAGAAGAAGAAACTTAAACAAACAAGCAAACAAACCTAACAATTTTCTACTTTTTCATGACACCCAAGATCAGTTCCCTGAGGTAGCTGCCTCAGACTACCTAACAGTTGGGCCGGGCCAGGCAATTTACCAATTGCACATGCATCTAAAGTGTGACTTGAGGAGAGCAGCACGGCTTGGAGTAAGCCCCAAGGGCTAGATATGGAGGACCTGTGGTTGTATTCAGCCCCCAGACCTGAGGTGCCCCACCTCTGATCCAAACACACATGCCTAGCTATGTAACCCATAACTTGGCATTTCACATCCTGGTGCCACTGATTTTGAATTGCAGATCACAGGACAATTATGCAACTCTGGCATATATTTTCTCCCAAGGGCCACACACTTCCTTGTTGTTGCTCCTATGAAACAACGGAGGACAGTCTATCGCGTGCAATAGAAGAAGCAGATTCTTTAGCAATGTGTAATGGGTGGGCTGAGGCAGTGACCCTTGGCACAAGAGTAGGCGTTTTACAAGCGTGTCCCTGGTTTCCTGCGAAATGTTGCAGGGTATGCGATTATAATTAAACCAATAACTGCAAAACTAGAAGAGAATGACATTATGGCCTTTGAAAAAAGAAGGATCCTAATTGGATTTCCTCACATTGGCAGCATTCACTTGCTTGAGAATTCTTTGTCCAAGGAGACAAGCAGACTCGCGTGTGATCTTGCAACTGGCATATTGGCAGAGGCAGCAAGAGGTCCGATGCATTTTCCTGTCCTCAGATATTTATGCTCAGGTGAAGAAACCCACTTTGAAACTCTTAGAAGTGATTATTTCTTAAACAAAGCCATAAATCTTTGACAGTCACAGCAGCTGTTGTTTTATATGCTTTTATGTACATGGGTGATAGTGAATGGCTGGTCTGCTGGCAGCATCACACATGGTCACATGGAACACAAATCACCCCCACCCCTTTTCACTTTTGATTTTGCTACAGCTCCACATACTTTAGAGCATTCATTCATGTTTTGGGGTTCCCCTCCTTGGTTCTGCTCTGATTTTGGCAGGGTGTTTTTTGTTGTTGTTTTTTTGCAATAGAGCAGAGTGAACATACACACAGAGAGAAATTCATTTAGTTTTGCATTTCAGGTGAATCCATCAAATTTGCACTTTCTGAAGCAACATGAGGATAAAAATTCAAGCACCTTTGAAATTTGCTGTTCTCCGGATTTGGAACTGCAATTTGCCCACCTAACCATATTTGCAAAGCCAACTACAGAAGAAGAAAGTGTGCCTAACAAAGCAATATATTAGTGAAAACAACATACACAAATACATTACATTAGTAGAACTTGCTTTAAAAAATGTGTACATTAGTCAAAACAGCACACACACAAACACACAAATTGTTTATTAAGAGAAATTCACACTAAAACACTGATGAGTTTTCATGAGTTTTTAAAAGTGAATTGTTGCAGTAATTTCAATAACTTAATCTGAGAATGGGAAAACAAGAAACTGAGAAATTCAAAACTCGCAGAACTTCCCATCCCTACACACATAGAGACACAATGTAATGAAATGCATTCTGGCAAGACTCAAAAAGTCTTTAAAAAAGCTTTCCAGGAGAGCTCCAAAAGTGAAGTGAGAGAGGTAGCAAAATAAAATTCCCCTCTCTCATAACACTAGGACCTGGGGTTATCCAATGGAGCAGAATGTTGGGAGGTTTAGGCAAGATACAAGATACATATACATCTTTACACAGTGCATAGTTAAAATATGGAATTCGCTGCTACAAGATGTGCGGATAGCCACTAGCTTAGATAGCATTAAAAGAGGACCAGACAACATTTATGGAAGATTAAACTGCTAATGGCTCTTAACCATGATGGTCAAATAGCCTCAACTGTTGGAGGCAAAACACCTCTGAATGCCTGGGGATCACCTTCCAGAGACATCTGGCTGATAACTTCTGCAGAAATTCTAGATTCCCCCCTGTCAAGTGGGCATCTTCTGCACTGCAAGCACTTGGAAAACCTACTGCAAGCTGCAAGGAGCTTTCCCTCATCAAGGAGTAAGTAATTCATAACAATATTAAAGTGTGATAAATTAAGAAGGAAGGATCCCAATGAAGGAAGATTTCCAAAGGCAGAACCTTTTATACATCCAAGAAGCCTGAGGCCAAGATGCGTTTTGCTGCCTGAGCCAAAGCAGCAAATGTTGCCTCTTCTCAAGTCAAGTTGAAAGATTGGCTTTGAATGAACATTTTACTTCAGCTCAGTAGGTAGGGACAATGCCAGCCACACAACTATAATGCCTGTCTTCTCTTCCCATGAGCCCCCAAACTCAAACAACTGAGGTGGAGCCACTGCTAGAGACAAGGAACTCATGGCTTATGCTTTGTTGCTTCCTCTCTCTCTATGTCAGTCTGCATTTATCCATGTGCAGCCTGAGCCTATCCATTGGGGAGGAGGGGGAAGGTTTCCTGGATAAATGAGTCCCTGCTGCTTATCAGGAGGGAGGGTGAGAAAAGCAAGGCACAGCGGAGATTGGTTTGGTGCAAACACACCAGCAGGAACACCAGATTGACTCTGCCACTTCATTTCCATTGCTGCCTCCCTCCCGCCCCCATCTCCCTTCCAGGAAGAAGCAGCTACTCAGCTGTTAGGAGGTCAAGCAAGATCCACCACCCCACCACGTTGTCAACTACTGCATACAATGATCACTGGTCCATACTGGACACTTCTGCATACAACATACTTAGAATCATAGAATGGTACAGTTGGAAGGGACCCTGATTATCATCTAGTCCAACTGCCTTGCAATGCAGGAATATGCAGCTGTCCTATACAGGGATTAAACTCAAAGGGATCTGTGCAGCAGCATGGCACAGTGTGTAACTTGCCATTGAATGCTGCAAGGATGCCAAGCCAGTTTCAGCCTACCTCCTTGTAAACACACACAAACCCTCCAGGAATGCCCTCTAGGTTCTTCCGCTCTACTGCATTATTTGCTGCAGCCTTGGTGTGCCTTATCCACACAGCCTAAAACATGGGTGTTTGGGCTATTAAGAATACAACAAGATGTCACAGCATCCAAGGAAACTGCAAAAGGCAGATAGCATAGATCTATGCATCTGGCCTGAGCTGCAAACAGCTGGTTTCTACAATGAGGAGTTATGGGCATACCTTCAGAAGCGCTGTCCTCCCAGCTGGCATCACTCTGACTGTGCAATGAAGCTCAGTTCCAGGGAGAAAAGAGAGCAGGCTGGTGTGCTAGCTCTAGTACTTAACATCACCACTGATTACTCTGCAGTGTAATTACAATTCCTGCAGATGAAGGAGATGCATTTCGCTGGCTGGGAAGAAGGGAAGCTAGACATTAGGAGGACAGAGGCGTGGAGAGGTAGACTGCCCTTAGCACATAGCTTCTCAGTGCCTTGTACTGGCCTTTCTTATATATAAGAGGCAAGCAGGGGATGGACTGATTAATCAAAGTGCTGCAGGTACAAGGAGTTAGCACAACCAACAGAGAGCTAAATAATCATTTTTGCAGTGAGGATTGGCACCCAGGCAGCACCAATGGAAGATAAAAGCCAGGAGGTGAATTTGCCAGCCATTCAGCATTGTAGCAAGTAATACTTTGCTCCCATCCAGAAACCAGACTTGTGGGTCTGAAAAGCTGGTAGACTCCAGATCCACCCAGACTCTGTCCATAATCTGTCAGGTTGTGCTCTGGTTATAGCCCTGGTTCACAAGACTCTGTCCTGGTTCTTTTGCCATCTAGACTAAATCCCAGCTGCTCTCTTGACTTGCAATATCCTGTTCTGGCTTGGCCTATGCTATCACACCCCATCCCTGCCCAAGGAATGAGGCTTGCTGGAATCCAAAGATGCAAGCTCCACTATGAAGGGTGCTTTGCAAAGTGGTTTGATGAGGACAGGCTGTCAGAATTTGGCAGCAAGTTATCATGGAAGGACATTAAGGGAGGTGGGCACAGAGATAGTGGCTGAGCACACAGTGATAGCAATACAGGGTCAGCGGCTAGGAGGACATGGAGAGGAGAGGGCAAAGAGAATGCTACAGAAGAGCTAGCTGGAAAAGATGGGACTAGAAAGGTAGTGTGTGCAGTGGAGG